GATCCTCCTGGCCGGGAGACCCAAGGGCTTGAGAGAACCTAACGTGGCGATCGGTTCAAAGGAAAGGCACAAGTACATTCATCAGCTTTGGAGGTGCTGCCCTTTAAAGCGAAGCAACAAAAACGGCTGCCCTATTTTCCATAGCCACGGGTCGTGTACAACCCGTTTGATCTGCGCTGAACCCGGCCACCGGGTCTCCGACCGGAAACCGGGGACCCATGTTCAATCCAATGCCTTCTGGACATGTGCTTGTCCACGCTGAGTCAAGGGGGTTACCAGGGACCTGTGACAGGAGTAACGGCAGGAGGGCCCCTGGACTGGACCAGGTGTATGGATAGTCAAGGCTGAGATAGGCTGAGTGTATGAACCCATATGCGAACTGCCGCAAGCTCCTGAGTTCTTGGAAAAGTCATTTCTGAACCGTCTCATTTGCACCGGGTATGCGCCTCTCTGGGCTGTATCCGAATTTGCATCACGTCCGAATTTGCAAACATCCTTCAGAGAGGCGCAGATTCTAGCGCATTCCAAAAAGCAAAAAGACAAATATGACTTTACCAAACACCTGCCAGGCAATTTTCACTTTGCCTTGCAAAAGGATTGAAGAGAGCGTGCAGCAGGTGCAGGCAATTGGGCATGAACCTCTGGATATTGTTTGACGGGGGCCGCTCGCCACAGGGGCCCAAATTGGATTTGTTCCTACACGTCGAGCGTAGGCAAGTGAAGTGCCACATGAGACCACAATCAAAGCCGGGTAGATGAAGGTTAGTAAGGGACAATCCCAACCAGAAATAGCTGCGGCCGCCGCCCTGATTCTTTACATGGCTCTGGGTAGACCATTTTAAGGCCGGGTTTTGATTATGACTCACTTGTTGCCTGGTTCAGGTGCTGCTGTTTCGAGGGATGGGCTCGCAGAGCTCGACTTTTGGCTGGCCTATTCTGGAGAGAATGAAGAGGGGCCTCCAAAAGTTCGTCCAAATTCATGTTCAGCCCGCAAGGGGATGGCTTGGTTTTTCAACTGAGTCCTTTTTGAGAGAATAGAGTTGGACCCCCTTTCTGGGTGTAGAAACCCGTTTTTTAAATGGGGTCCAACTCGGTTTTCAACCAACAAGGGGGACTTTGGGAGTCCAAGTCTCAGTCGGGACACCTGGCCGGACCTCAGGAATCCCAACTTCTTTCTTCAGCACAACACCGAAGTCCAAAACGTCCAATCGGGGTCCAAAACATCCAAGACGCTTAGTAAACGTCTGACAACATAAACATATTGGATCTTGGTGTCTAACGGCCCGAGGCGGCAGCGAGACAGGATTTCAGATATGAAGATGTGAATTTCGCAAGAACGGTAGGTCAAGTTCGAGAGTCTAATCGAAAAGACAACCCACGTTTCTAGGGTTTCCTTTCCCAGTCTGTCCAGGGATCCTTCTTACCAGAAAGCCAACAAAACACCAGGGAGAGCGGATCCGGTTTTTGAAAATGAACGATGGTTGAAAAGAATGGGAAACTCTGTTGCCCAGTGGGTTGCTTCCTTTTTCTTTCTCTTTTTTTGGGGGTTTTGGCTTCCGATTCCTGAAAAAACTCAACCAACAAAAGGGTGGTCCCTTTCCCTTTTTTCCCATGGCCCCAAGTTCTCGACTCGGAAAGGAACGAGTTCAGAAAGGACCAAGTTTTTTTTAACCATGAACCAACTTGGCCCCTGGATCTTTCAAGTTCTCGGCTCTCTCGCCGACTCTCCCGCAGGAGCCGCAGCTGCGAGGGGCCCTCAAGCCGGATTCGCGTGGGTTTTGGAGTGGGGAGGTGAAAACGGAGCGCCCGCAAAGGAGGCTCAGGAAAACCACGGGCAACAACTCGTCCAGTTGCAGTTGAGATGAATATGTGGTTCATGTCCACTGTTGGGTAGAGGGGATCCATCACTGCTTGGAATAGGGGGGCCTAAGCAAATGGAGGTATTTTAGGGTAAACGAAGTATGAGACATTGTCAGAAAGGACGATTTTATGTGTAACCCAGATGTGCGCCAAGTGGGTGCGTGCGTGTTTTGAGGGTACGCTTTTCACCGTATTTTTGATTCAAAAGGACACCAAACGGAAGAACCACCCGAAAATAGGGGATCCCCTACTATGTACCCAGCAGGCAGCAGCTGCAAAATGAGTGGCGACTTATGATTCCCTAAAGGTGCACTTCCATTCACCAAACCTTCTCAACCGTAAAACCCGCTTGTGGACTCCCTGCCTAAGGCTACTTGAGCAGCTCCCGGCAAGTAGACACTTCTGAACTAGCCCAACCAAACGTTGGGCCACTCACTCAATTGTCCTGTGACAATTGATTCTAAAGAGAAACACCATTAAAAAACGAAAAAAGGCAAACGCAACGGATGCTGGCAGGGGGTTTTCCCCTTCGTTCTTCCCTGAATCCGGAGGTGTACTCGAGCCGCGCTGAGGCTACCAGAGCTTCCTAGGCTTCGGGGGCTCCTTCACGGAGTCCTCGGCCGACTTGTGGCGGCAGATGCCGCCCAAGCAGCAGGATGCTCGGACGGAGGGTCTCAGACGCGAAAAGGGCGGGAGGGGACTGCCTCGGGTGCGATCTGCAGAGGGAGAAAAATGCGGGGAAAAGTGCAACATTGGGGCGTCTAGCCACCAGAAAAATTCGTCTCAGATCCGTTTTGGCTGACAATTGGCGAAGGGTTTCCTGTAGTTAGCCCTTCTGAGAAGTTTCGGGCATCGGTGACAATTAGCAACCTTTCCTTCCTGGAAGTTCCGAGGCTTCAGTGAATTCACCGAATTCCCCGATTCGCACCGATTCCATCACGAACGGAAAATGGTCTACCAATCAACCTAGGGGTTCAGACCAGCGGTCCATGAGTTCACAGGTTGAGCTTGGATGCTGTAGGGGACCTTGCTTGGCCTCTGATGTGTGGCAGGAGCAAGTGCTGGAAGCCTACTTCAGCCAGGACAGGCTCAGGCATGACAGAAGAGATCTCGACTTGCTTTGGCTTCAATTCAGGTTTTGGCAAGACCTAGGTCTCCCAGTAGTGTCCTGTTGCCTCTTTTTTTTGGGGCCTACTAAAATAAAATACAGAAAAAAAGGTACCCTTATTCCAACCTCTACTGGAGGATCTAGAGACGGTTTTTGGACCAGTTGGAGCCACGAAGGCTTGCCACGGAGACGGTGGGTTCAAGTCCACCCCGATCCGATTGCTTTCATGATTTGCTTCTCTTTTGAAGCCAAGTTTTAATTTTTTGAGCGCTTTGGGAATTCTACCTCGTCCCAGTTGTTTCGTTGTTTCCCTTGCCCGGGTGAGTTCCCATTCTGCAGCACACCGCCGTCCCAGCCAGCCTCTTGTTTTAAACCTCGCTTGCCCAAGCCAAGAGTTTGAGCCTGTCGTTTCTGGGTCCCTGGGCAACTGACGGCAACTTAAACGCAACCAATCGCCCAGTTCTCAGGAAAAAGGCTTGGCCTATTCCTGGGGCCGCATCCACATGGGCGGCAGCCTCAGACTCTCAGACTCTCAGAGTTTCAGAGTCTCAGAGCTTGCGCCCTGCTTAGCCCAGGTCCAATGAACATTCAGGTGACACTTAACTGGCTGTAATTGTCAAAGCCAATGGGATACCATTTTGGTTGGTAGGTGCACCACCCATTTTAGAGCCTTTTTTAGTGGGGATTGGGATGTTCACTGGGGGTACGATTTGGATTTTCCCCATGGCCAGGTGACACTTAAGAACTTGACTGGTCGTGGGCAACGGATCTTTAGACTTTAACTTTTTGGTTGAAATCAAGTTGGGTTTTCCACTAAATCCACACAAAGTTATTCACTTGTTGCAGAGGGGTCAACAGCAACCAAGTTAGTTGGTAACATTCAGGTCCAGTTGGCTCAGGTACGTTCGGGATACTGTTTCTAATCAGTTATCCATTCATAGGTGGTTTGGATTGGGTTTGGATTCGGGTTTGAGCCCTTCTAGAGGGTAAATGGAATCACCCCGGAACGCCACCAAACCATCAGGCTCCAAACCACCAAACAAGTTGGAAGCTGAAACATGGGTATATATCATGAATTTCTGGCTTTGGAACAATCATGCCAACTGTACCTTGGTCAGATGTGCTCAAAAAATCCGACTGCCTGCTTGGAAAGTTTGCCCGAGCTGAATGCCTTGCATGCGAAACTTGTCTCACAGGCACAGGTACTCTCTTGCCCAGAGTAAGCCTTTTTCCGAGCTTGCAGCCATTCCCAGTTCCGTGCCTAAGATCGGGCAGCATGCCATTCCAATTTGCTCGCTGGCGAATGTGAATATCTATCTATGCTTCGGATTCAGGAGTCCAATGAAGAGTCGGAGGAGTCCAACGACAAATTTGCCCAAAGACGACCTTTTGACCATTTTCCCCCTTTTTTGGTCCATTTTCAGTCATGGCCCCAAAAGGTTAACCTTTTATTTCTGGGTCCTTTGGGCAACTGAGTATAACTGAGTACTGAGGGGCCTTTTGAGGTTGCAGGATGTTTGGACCGAGCAGGCGTTCCGCAATTCAAACCGGAAATGGAACCTTTTAGAAGAGTCCCAGCACGTCAATCCAGCTTTGTTTTGCCATCGTTATTTTACTCCGCGTCTCCCTTCAATTAACCAGCTAAAGGGCAAGCAGGGCAAACTCGTGGCTTTTCGCATTGGCCCGCATTTGAGGGCGTCTCCAAATGGTGAACCCCCCATTTGGTGGGTGTTTCAAAGGCAACCCAGAAGGAAGCAACCATGTCTATCGACTAGCAATTTCTGTTTGCACCCTCTCCATTCTTTGCAGCGTTCCTTTTCGGTCAAGAACCGCGGATAGAAAGAATGTGCCACCGCCTTCGGATCGAGCGGATCGAGCGAGCGAAGCCTCTGAGTTCCCGTTGAAGCTTGCGATGCAGCAACAGCTTTCAATGCAGCAACAGCTTTCCGTAGGGCATGTGTTTTGTTGAGCCCGGATACCCTGTTCAGCTTGTAAAACGAAAAGGAGACCAGCCATGTTGAAGGTCAACGATGTTTTTGAACGGGTGCTAATCCGTCTACCTAGACGGCCTGTTGGCAATGGCAAGAGTGATTACAGTGCACTGCGCGCCGTCCGGGAAAGAGGAAGCGTTCGAGTTGGAGGCAGACATGACTGCCCGCGAGTTCAAGAGGCAGCTGCACAGGTGGCTGCCCTGTGGAGATGACTCACAGCGCAACATGAGCTCGGTGGAGGTGGTTGTCGGAGAGACGCCCCTATCGAACAACGAGGAGATGGTGTCGGAGGCAATTCCAGGCGCAGAAGTGTTGGCTTTCCTGAGCATCAAGCCGGTGAAGTGCTCACGAGCCAGGTCATCCAGCCGAGAGATCGAAGATTTGCGCGTAGTGGAAATTACAGATGTAGGAGAAGTTGCCCCATGTGCGTTCCTCGACTGCAGGTTTTTGGCCAGCGTCGTCATCCCAGACTCCGTGACTGTGATCAAAAACTCGGCCTTTGTGCACTGCAGCTCCTTGAAGAGCGTGGCCATCCCCGACTCCGTGACGCGGATTGAATGTTGGGCCTTCAAAGGATGCAGCTCACTGGAAAGTGTGACCATTCCCAATTCTGTAATTCACATTGGGTTTGGTGCCTTTGAAGATTGTAGCTCATTGACAAGCGTGACTATTCCCACCGTGACACAGATTGAAAGTGGTACCTTCGCAAATTGCAGCTCATTGACAAGTGTGCGCATTCCCGACACAGTGACCGAGATTGGAAAGCGTGCCTTCCGAGGTTGCAGCTCATTGCCAAGCACAACCATTCCTAGTTCTGTGACCAAGATCGGGAAGTATGCCTTTGAACATTGCAGCTCGTTAGCGAGTGTGACCATCCCTGACTCCGTGACTCGTATTGGCAAAGGTGCCTTTGCCGGCTGCGACTTTCCTTGGGATGATGAGTCCAATGAAGAATCGGAGTCAGATATTGATTTCGACTTATTTGACTAGTCTCAATTGTTTCTGCAGCACAAGCGCTTGAGCCTCGTTCATGCATGCACGCAAAGTCTTCGACTGGCCCGCAAAATCTCCGGCAACAAAGCCTTGGGTCGCAGGATGTTCGAGCACAGGTTTCGCAATTCAAATTGGGCATGACAGGACATACAGCTCAGTTTTGCCGCTTGTATTTAACCTCCTGTTTCATCTACCGAGGAAATCATGGGGCTCATTCATCACGTGTCGATTCGTGTTTTGTTTGTTTCCCACGGTTCACGCCAACTTGTGGCGCCGGTCCCGTGATGCGTGCCGCCGTGCGCCGTCTATACTTTGGATCATTCGGGAGTACGAGGATCATCTCACTTCCTAAGTTCATGGACTTTGCAACGCTGCAACCAAAGCGAATCGACCTTTTGGCCTTTTGGCTTTTTGGCTTTGCAGGTTTGGTCCATTTGGTGGCCCCAAGAGGTGGACCTTGTATTTCTGGCAACTGAGAACTTGGTAAAATGATAATGCCAGAAGTACTCACCGATGCCATGAGCTGTTGTGGCATGGAAGCTGACAGGAAGGATTTTGGAAGACGACTTCCTTTTGGGGAAGCTTCTGGAACCCACTTCCATTGTCCATGATCAACTCTGAGTATCTCTTTGTGATGGAACCCAACCAGCACATTGTTGATAGTTGGAAAGAGGCCCGGGGCAAAAGCTAGATCAGCCTGAGTATCTGATATTGTGGTGGAACCCGACCGGCGAAATCCACACTGCACAGCCCTTGGTTGGAGGCTTCCCCTTTGCAATCGGACGCCCTTGGATCACTCACTTCCAGCGTGGTTGTGGACGGCTGGGTTTTAGGGCCACTTTCTCTGATGGAATCCCCTTTTCATGGCATGGTTTACTTATCACATGTCCCAGCGCACCAACGACCAACCCTAGTCTATTTGCGTATGTGTCAATGTCAAACCTCCTTGCAAAACCGTGGTTTCTGTTTTGGCTTCCCTCACAACAAAGGGACAGGGCACCCTGAAAAAAGCCCACAGTGGTTTGATTCTTCCGGACCCCTATTCACTTGCAATTGCTTAAGAGTTTTGCCTTGTTTCTCCTGGCTTCGAGGGAGTCGATCGTCGCTGGGCATGAATTTGCCAGGGGATTGGCTGGTTTTCGAGTTTGGGTTTTCCTTTTTGTGGCGCAGAGGATTTTCCCAGGAGAACACCGACATGCGCCCATTTCCCCAGGCTCCTGCGACTTCTCCAGGCGCGGAGGCGAAAAACGAGCCGGCTTGGAATCCCATGTGCTTCTATTTTCGCCTTGGTAGCGCTTGCCATCCGGTTCCTTAGATAGTTTGATCGCTTTTTTTTCATTTTGTTTTATTTATGTTTTTCGGGTTTCGTGGTTGGATTTCCGTATTTCGCCCACTAAAAGTTCAAACGTTGAGCAGGGGATCTGAAAACGGACAGCCCAGTTGCGTGAGAACAAACTCTGTTTTTTCTCCCCTGTTGGTTTTAAACGGAATCGGTTTCACTCGTGGACATATTTTCTCATTTGTCGGGGTTGCGAAAAAGCAAGTGGA